CTAGAGGCTATCAGCATCATGGATTCCCAAGGGGCCCTGGTCAACGTGCCCCCGCCTTTTCTGGTGAGACTGCCTGGATGTGGAGCCTGGTCTGGGGACAGCGGGGTACCAAGGCACAGCCATAATGGGGCTTGTCTCCACCCAGGGCCTGCCTAGGTTCGAGGCCAGGAAGGCAGTGCTGGCGGCGCTGAAGGAGCGAGGACTATTCCGTGGCATCAAGGACAACCCCATGGTGGTGCCACTTTGCAAGTGAGGGTGGGGCCAGAGAAAGGGGGGTGGCTCCTCAGAGAGCTCCCCATTCAACCTCCCCACCTCTGTGTACCTGCAGCCGGTCCAAGGACGTGGTGGAGCCTCTGCTGCGGCCACAGTGGTACGTGCGCTGTGGGGAGATGGCCCAGGCCGCTGGTGCTGCTGTCACTCGGGGTGACCTCCGCATCCTGCCTGAGGCCCATCAGCGGACGTGGCATGCCTGGATGGACAATATCCGGTGCGTCAGGCTTTATGTGGGGAAGGTGACTGGGTGAGGTGCTGGTCCGGGCACAGGCCAGGGCACCTCCCTGGCCCTGACCCCTCCTTCCCTGCCATTTGCAGGGACTGGTGTATCTCCCGGCAGCTGTGGTGGGGCCATCGCATCCCAGCCTACTTTGTCACTGTCAGCGACCCAGCCATCCCCCCTGGGGAGGTGAGAACTGGTCCAGCGTGGAATACTGCACATTTGGGGGGAACTGTGGTTTGTTGAGTGCTTGGTGTGGGGCAGGGGCGGGGCAAGGCAGGGGCGCCCCCTGGGTATTCACTGCACCTGTGGCAGGACCCCGACGGGCGGTACTGGGTGAGTGGGCGCAGCGAGGCCGAGGCCCGTGAGAAGGCAGCCAAGGAATTTGGAGTGTCCCCTGACAAGATCAGTCTCCGGCAAGGCAAGGCAGGGCCTTGGGGGTGGAGGGCAGAGCTGGGCCTCTGAGCCTCATCTCTGACCTCTGACCTTTGGCTTCCCTCAGATGAAGATGTCTTAGACACCTGGTTCTCCTCTGGCCTCTTCCCCTTCTCCATCCTGGGCTGGCCCAACCAGGTACGTCCCAGAGGCCAGCCTAGGTGGGTGGGGGTCTTGGAGGTGGGTGCTTGGCTCCCCGTCACTCTCTGTTCTGCCCCTAGTCAGAAGATCTGAGTGTGTTCTACCCGGGGACACTGCTGGAGACAGGCCATGACATCCTCTTCTTCTGGGTGGCCAGGATGGTCATGCTGGGCCTGAAGCTCACCGGCAGGCTACCCTTCAGCGAGGTGCGAAGCCTGCTGAGACCCTCCCAGAGTCTCCACCCTCTCCTGTGCCACAGCTCAGACTCAGCATGGATGGGGCACAGGCAGGGTCCCTGGACAGCTGTGGGTGGGCCTGTGGGGCCTGGAAGCCAGCCTGGGATCTGCTTGGTGATTCTGTGGGCTTCCCAGAGAGGAGTGAGCACCTCTGAGTCCATGAAGGTGCTGAATGGGCTGGTGGGACACTGAGGGACTTGAGGTTCAGACACAGGGCCCTGGGGGGGCAGTGGGGTCTGGTAGGGAGGCGCAGCCTCACAGGCTCCTTCCTGCCTCAGGTCTACCTCCATGCCATTGTGCGAGATGCCCATGGCCGGAAGATGAGCAAGTCTCTGGGCAATGTCATCGACCCCCTGGATGTCATCTACGGAGTCTCGCTGCAGGTGGAGCTGGGTGCTGGGCCAGGCTGGGGAGGACTTCAAGGCTGTGGCCACAGCCCCCTGACCCCTCCCACCTCACCCTCAGGGCCTCCACGGCCAGTTACTGAATAGCAACCTGGATCCCAGTGAGGTGGAGAGAGCTAAAGAAGGGCAGGTATGAGGGTGGCCAGGGCCAGGGAGTGGGCAGAGGGAAGGGGGTGCTGGCTCAGGACTCAGACACCGGCTCCTCTTGCAGAAGGCAGACTTCCCAGCGGGGATTCCTGAGTGTGGCACTGATGCCCTCCGGTTTGGACTGTGCGCCTACACATCTCAGGGTAGGGCCCCCAAATCTCTGTCATGTCTTTCCTCTTCTGAGGCCACCCCTCTCCTCCTCTGCCCTGGGTGAGATTTGGGAAGGAGGGTGGGGCTGAGGACACACTCACCGTACCTAGGTCGTGACATCAACCTGGATGTGAACCGGATACTGGGATACCGCCACTTCTGCAACAAGCTCTGGAACGCCACCAAGTTTGCCCTTCGTGGACTTGGCAAGGGTTTTGTGCCCTCAACCACCTCTGAGGTGAGGGCCTGGTAGTCACGAGATGACCAACATACACCCCTCCCAGTCCAACACCAAGTGTGGCCCAGGAGCCTCCATGTTGTGGGGGGCAGAGGGTTACAGGGAAAGCCCGGGGCATTGGGGTCCTACCCTCAGATACTGGCACATGATGGCTTTAGACCCAGCAGGCTCTTGGAATACATATTTGCCCATGGTTCCTGCCTCCGTGGGGTTCTGGCTCCCTCCTCCTGGGTATCTTCCTCCCCCCAACTACGGTGGGCCTTGGCTGATCTGCCCCTCCTCCCAAGCCTGGAGGCCACGAGAGCCTGATGGACCGCTGGATCCGCAGCCGGCTGACTGAGGCCGTGAGGCTCAGCAACCAAGGGTTCCAGGCCTACGACTTCCCAGCTGTTACCACCGCCCAGTACAGCTTCTGGCTTTATGAGCTCTGTGATGTCTACCTGGTGAGGAGGAGCCGAGTGGTGGGGGCAGCAGAGCCCTGGGCTTCCCTTTTCCAGTGGTTGGCCATGAGACCTGAGCTACCTGTCCCCCTCCCAGTTGTCACAGGTACAGTGAGGGCTGGAGACTAGACCTTTTCCAGCCCTGAGCCCTGTGCCTCTCCATCTCCTAGGAGTGCCTGAAGCCTGTGCTGAATGGGGTGGACCAGGTGGCCGCTGAGTGTGCTCGCCAGACCCTCTACACCTGCCTGGATGTTGGCCTGAGGTTGCTGTCACCATTCATGCCCTTCTTGACTGAAGAGCTGTTCCAGAGGCTGCCCAGGCGGACGCCACAAGCACCTCCTAGCCTCTGCGTTACCTCTTACCCAGAGCCCTCAGAGGTATGGGTTTGGTCTGGAGGGGGCTCCAGCCTGCCCTAGCCCTCCTCACCCCCTGCTTCGCCCCACAGTGCTCCTGGAAGGACCCTGAGGCAGAGGCTGCCATTGAGCTGGCCCTGAGCATCACTCGAGCCGTGCGCTCCTTGCGTGCCGACTACAACCTCATTCGGATCTGGCCTGACTGTGAGCCTTGGGGCCCCATGTCTACCCTGTCCCACTGTCCCTGGGCCCAATCTCCAGTATGGCTACCTTACCATCTTCCCTCCCCTGGCAGGTTTCTTGGAAGTGGCTGATGAGGCCACAGGTGCCCTGGCATCAGCAGTGTCGGGTTACGTGCAGGCACTGGCCAGCACAGGTGTGGTGGCTGTCCTGGCTCTGGGGGCTCCTGCACCCCAGGGTTGTGCTGTGGCCTTGGCCTCTGACCGCTGCTCAGTCCACCTGCAGCTGCAGGGGCTGGTGGACCCGGCCCGGGAGCTAGGCAAGCTGCAGGCCAAGCGTGGTGAGGCGCAGCGGCAGGCCCAGCGTCTGCGGGAGCGCCGAGCTGCTGTGGGCTACCTGGTCAAGGTGCCCCTCAAGGTCCAGGAGGCAGACGAAACCAAGGTGTGTGGTGGGGGTGGGCGTTTTCTTCCCTACTCCCCACATCTCGGACCCAGTCCTGTGGCTGCACTGTGCTCAGCCCCAGGCAGTCTATGGGGGGAGCTCAGAGCCCAGGCCCCTTGAGCAGATGGGGGTGGGGAACAGCTGGGTGGGTGGGTGGGAGCATAGCAAGGTGAAGACAGAGTCAGACCCAGAACCAGGTACCCTGCCTCCCAGCCACACTCCTTATGGCCAGCACCTAGAACATGGCATCCCACATGCCTGGGGCTGGGCTCGGAGCACATAGACTGGAGCCCTCCAGGCAGGAGCCCTGGGTAAGCCACGAGGGGCACAGGGAACAGCAGCCATGGTGCCAGGTAGCGTACTCACTGGATCCGCCCAGTAGCCCTCTCTGGGCAGGCAGGATTACTCTGGCCACTTTACAAATGAAGGCTGAATGCCTGCCTGGGAACCTGTGTTCCTAATCTCTGCCCCTCAGGCTGGGCCACTGAGTGGGACACCTGGGCTTTGAGGCTCCTTTGTCCTTAGGAACTGACCTCTCTGGGAAAAGGCAAGACCCAAAAGCCCAGTGATGGTGGAAGAGAAGTGGGGTGCTGGTGGGGAGGTGCTTGGGGTTCCCATCCCACCAAGCACACAGTCCCTAACTAATCCCTTCCCATGACCCTCACCTGACTTTCCAACTCTGACCCTCTGCCTTCGGTGGGCATTTGGAGGTCTTCTCTCTTGGGCCTGGGTCCTCACCACCCACTGCCCCTTGTTCCACCCCCAGCTCCACCAGACAGAAGCAGAGCTCAGGAAGATGGACGAGGCCATTGCCCTGTTTCAGAAGATGCTGTGATAACAACTCCAACCCTCATAACCCCCAGTGGTACACCCGGGGGGTGGCAGCAATAAATATTTTGCCACAAAGTCATTTTTTGTCTGCATGTGTACCAGGACTGGGAAAGGGGTGCTGAGGGGCCGGGTTCCCAGATCATCAGAGGCTGCAGACCGGGCCAGGCGCAGGTCCTGGTGGGCAGAGGTGCATCTGTCTGGGTCTGCCCTGGCACCCAGCCAGGCCTGAGTCATGCTGCGCTGCGGGTTCCCTTCCTCCCAGCTCTCACCTCCGCACTGCAGCCAAGGAAGGCCCGCCCTGGTAGCCGCTGCAGCTATGGCCAGGGCCTGGTTCTGCCCCACCCCGCTGGGCCTCCGTCCTCCTCCCCCAAGGCTCACTTAAGTTAATTATAACTCTGACCTAAGTGCCCTCTGACACCACATCCAGCAGCCCAGTCAGAAGACCCAGCCACCAGGTAGGGGAGACTTCCTGTGTGGGGTGGGGGTGTCAGGCTGGGTGGGGAGGGGCATCCTTGGGGGAGGAGCCTCAGACCCCTCTTGCTGGTGTAAGTCCCAACTGGCCTGATAAGGCCTTCAGGTTGTCTGGGCTACTACAGAGGGCAGGAAGCTGGGCTGGAGCAGCTAGGGTGCTTGAGGCAAAGAAGAAGGGGCTGCGTAGGTCCCCATGGATACAGCCAGGCCTGCCCTTGAGCTACTGCTCCTTCCTCCTGATAGCCTTCTGTCCCCCAGGTCCATGTCTCAGTTATGCTCCCCACTGACGTGCCCTTAGCCTACCTGGGCTCCTCAGTGCTGCTGCTGCTGCTGCAGCTGCTGCCCCCCACATCTGCCTTCTTCCCCAACATCTGGAGCCTCCTGGCTGCCCCTGGCTCCATCACCCATCAGGATCTGACAGAGGAGGCAGCTCTCAATGTCACTCTGCAGCTCTTCCTGGAGCAGCCGCCCCCAGGTCGGCCCCCTCTTCATCTTGAGGACTTCCTGGTGAGTGTTCCTGGGTCTTATCACATCCCAGCTGGACCCCTTGAGGGTCCTAGGACCTCTACTCCTTGAGGTCCTGCTTGCCAAAAGAAAGAACTCCATCCCCAGCCCATCTATACCCTCTGCAGCAACAATACCCAGGAACCTTGGTCCTGAAATGAGGAGTCCCTCCCCCTTAGAAAGGTCCAGGATGGCCAGCACCCTTGAGTTCTTCCACACCCAGCCTTGAATGCCAGTTGCTGAAGAAATGTGGGCAATGGCCCAATCCATGGGGCTTCCCTGGAGCCCGTTTCCTACCACTCTCCCAGGGCCGCACCCTCCTCGCTGATGACCTCTTTGCCTCCTACTTTGGACCTGGGTCCCCTTCCCGGCGGTTCCGAGCAGCTTTAGGCGAGGTATCTCGTGCCAATGCAGCCCAGGACTTCCTGCCGACTTCCAGGAACGACCCTGATCTGCACTTTGATGCCGAGCGGCTGGGCCAGGGGCGCACACGCCTGGTGGGTGCTCTGCGGGAGACCCTGGTGGCTGCAAGAGCCCTTGATCATACCCTGGCCCGCCGGCACCTTGGGGCAGCCCTCCATGCCTTGCAGGTAAGAGAAAAGAGCTGGGGTAATGGTTTGAGGGGTCTTCACTGCCAGTCTTCCTGTCTCCCAGACGGTGCCTTCTTGACCGTGCCTCTAGAAGGGATAGGGCACTGCTTGCCAAGGCCCTGAGGCTACTCCACAGACACAGCCAGGCTGTAGTCCCCACCTCCACACTGACGGCACTTCCTGTGGAGAGCAGAGGAAGGCCTTGGGGTGTCTGACAGGGGTAGCAGGAGAGGGAGGAGGCTTTCCAGGTGGGGGACAAAAGTGGCAAGTTAAGGCTGGAGACAAGTGCCCATTCCACTCTCCTCCTTTCCCTGGGTCTAGGATTTCTACAGTCACAGCAACTGGGTGGAACTGGGGCAGCAGCAGCCACACCCTCACCTCCTCTGGCCAAGGCAAGAGCTTGGGAGCCTGGCGCAAGGTATGGCCATGACCCGAGTGGTTAGGGCAGAGCCCACAGAGCCACCTCTTTTCAGCTTACTCAGCCACCATATCACATCCTGAGGTCACATAGGATGTGACATCACTTCATCTCTGGAATGACCTGTGAGGTCTCCCAGTTTAACCAAAGGCCAGGTCAGTTGGGTGGCTCCCTAAGGTCACACAGGGCAAGATAGAGACTGGACCAGGTCTGCAGACAGCTGAGTTTTCTCACATGGATCCCACAGGGCTTTCTCTCACAGTCCCCTCAACCTTCCAAATGAACAATGACCCTCAAGCTGCCTCCTGTCCATTCCAAATTCACTTCCTGTCCACAGCTCACCCAGGTCACTATCCCCAGAGGATTGGCCGCCACACTGTTGGCTTTTCTAGCATGGTCTCAGTCTCACCACCAGCCCCTGAACTCCGGGTTTAGCTCAGAAAGCCTAGAAGGGTACCTAGGACAGCTCCCTGTGGGCTCTCACCTTATTCCAGCTGGTAGGAAAAGCTGAAGTTTGGGCAGACAGGGATAAGGGTCTGGGCTGTAGAATCTCAGGCTCTAGAACTCTGCCCTCTCTTCCCAGAGGGAGACCCCACCTGCTCTGATTGTGAGGAACTGAGCTGTCCTGGAAATTTACTGGGTGTCACACTCCTCACCTCTGGCTACTTTGGAACTCATCCTTCCAAGCCTCTAGGTACCAGACGGGAAAGCCCTCAGAAGTAAGGGGACAGAGTCACTTCCTTTCCCTTGACCCTGTCCCCAGGGATTTTGGTTCTCTAGGTGTTTGCCCCACTTCCTGAAGAAGGAGAGACATTTGGGAATGGAGTGGGTGGATGAAGGCCCACTGAGTAGCCATGACTTGTTGGGGGAGGGGACAGGGAACCTCTTCTTACTCAACTAATAAGACTTCTCCGTTGCCCTAGGGTAGCTTTTAGGGACTGACTGGAGGGCTCAGGGGATCCACCATGTGCTGCGTGGCTGACCACTCCAAATTTGCCCTCCACAAAAAATGTCACACTTCCTTTCCTGCTGATCCTTCACCGAGCAATGAGAGGGTCAGGCCAGGTCAGAAAGGGCCCCGTTTTCTTAGAAGGCAGTAGTTTTTTACTTCCACCCTCCAGATCCCTTTCCCCAACCCAGGAAAATGTAGCCATGGGGGCCGTTTTGACCAGAGCAGCTCCCAGCCACCACGGGGAGGCATCAACAAGGACAGCACAGCCCCAGGATTCTCCCCCCACCACATGCTCCACCTCCAGGCTGCAAAACTGGCCCTTCTGGCCTCCATCCAGGCCTTCAGCCTCCTGCGAAGCCGCCTGGGAGACAGGGGTTTCTCCAGGTGAGTGGCCTCCTGGAGATGAGCTGAGAAACCAGAGGCTGGGGACAAATGTGTAGGCCTTTCATTGTGGCCCTCCCCAGGCTGCTGGACATCACCCCAGCCTCCAGCCTGAGCTTTGTCCTGGACACCACGGGCAGCATGGGCGAGGAGATCAACGCTGCCAAAATCCAGGCTCGCCACATTGTGGAGCAACGACGGGGCAGCCCCATGGAGCCCATCCACTATGTCCTGGTGCCTTTCCATGATCCAGGTAACTGCGGTCTAGCTGGGATAGTGGAGGGAAGGAAAGTCCAGGGCAAGGGGTAATGCCAATGGTGGGCAGTGGGCCTGAGCTAGCCTTTCCAGGGTACCTATGTGCATACGGGAAACAATTGGCCACTTCTTCCATGGCTTCCAGAATGGCAACAGTTCACATAAGTGTTTCCTAGGGACCCATGCCTCGGCCTTCTCAGCTTTCATTGCTATTCAGTCATTTTCAGACAGAGGTGGGGATGAAGGCGAGGGTTTGGTGGGTCCAGGCCTCTGTGAAGTATTTGAGACAGAGAGTTAAATAGTATTCCTTTCCCCACTGAATTGGAAGTCAGACAATCTGGCCTGAGTTGACCAGTCTTACTGTGTGTCCTTAGGTTGGTCATATAACTTCTCTTTGCCTCAATTTCATCATCCATAAAATGGGTCACTACTAGCTTTATTCTGCCTATCTCCCAGGGTTGAAATGATCATCAGATAAAATGCCCGCAGGACTAGGAATTTCCCAAGGGCAGGGTTTGAGTCCAATTTGCATAAATTTCATAGTAGCTGGCATATAGAGATTTATCACGTATTTGCTAAAGGTATGAATAAATAAATAATGAAGAATTCAGTCACTTACATGCCAAAGCACTATTTTAAGCCCTGGCTGGTTTTGCTCAGTGGTTAGAGCTTTGGCCCGTGGACCAGAGAGTCCTGGGTTTGGTTCCTGCTAAGGGCACGTACCTTGGTTGTGGCTTGTCCCTAGCCCTGGTTGGGTCGTGCGGGAGGCGGCCACTCAATGTGTCCCTTTCACATTGATTTTTTCCTCTCTCTCTCTCTCCCTCTCTCTCCCTCCCTCTCTATCTGAAAAAAAATGGAAAAATTGTCCTCAGGTGAGGATAAAAAAAAAGCACTATTTTAAGATTTATAAAATCATTTCCTTTAGTCCTCCCAATAACCTTCTAAGGTAAGTACTATGATTTTTTTTTTTAATCCTCATCCGAGGACATTTTTCCATTTTTTGCACAGACAGAGTGGGAGGGAGAGAGAGGAAGAGAGAGAGAGGGAAACATCGATGTGAAGGGACACATCGAGTGGCTGCCACCCGCACGACCAACCAGGGCCGGGGACAAACTGCAACCGAGGTACATGCCCTTAGCGGGAACCGAACCCAGGCCTCTCCGGACCGCAGGTGGACGCTCCAACCGCTGAGCCAAACCGGCCAGGGCAGTACTATGATTTTTCTGCCTTTTCTGGTGAGGAAATCTAGGCCCCAGTTGTGTTTATACTTACACATAGTCCCAGAAAGGCCCACTCAGGACCCCAGGAAGTGCTGCCGCTGTGTGAAGGACATGAGGCGGCTTTCCCCCCAGAGGCGCCGAGCGCCTTCCCTGCCTATGCACATATAAGGGAATTTTGTTATTTCAATACTTGTCCAACCCAAGAGCACAGAGAGCGTCTTGACTGGGTAAGAATGAGGGGAGTCCTCGCCACACTCATCTCAACTTCCTTTCCTCCTCCCAGGGTTTGGCCCTGTCTTTACAACCAGTGACCCTGACAGCTTCTGGCAACAGCTCAATGAGATCCATGCCTTGGGGGGTGGAGATGAGCCTGAGATGTGCCTGTCAGCCCTGGAGGTCTGCCCTCCCCCTTCCCTTCTTCTCTCCCCCTTTCCAGGCCCCACTACCAACGGGAGTTAGAGCCTTCCTGGGACCTCACCCCCCAGCCCACCTTCAGAGCCTGGTCCCTCTAGCTTGACTCCAGGGTTCCAGGGCCATATTGCCTTCTCTGCCCTCCCTTGCTCTCCCCATTCCCCTGCTGCCACCATTTTCACACCAGCCCTTTCCCTCCCTGCCAGCTGGCCCTGCTGCACACACCTCCGCTCTCAGACATCTTTGTCTTCACTGATGCCTCCCCCAAGGATGCCTTTCTCACCAGCCGAGTAGAAGCCCTGACTCAGGAGCGACGCTGCAGAGTGAGTATAGCTGGTGGGAGACCCCATTTTAGCTTCCCCGGGATGTAGGAGACCCTATGACAACAACCTCATAACAAGGGTCACACCACACTGTGGTGGTTGAGCCAGCCTTGACATGGGGTGGGAGAAGTGGACAATGAGTATAACATTTCCTGACCCCTTTCACAATACTAAAGAGTGGGAGGCCCTACCCTTAATGATCCTGAATTCATATTTGAACCAAATAAACCATCTGAAGAACTGGAGATCTGTTGCCAACAACCCACTATGTGGATGACATATTGTAACAGTTTCAAGGGAGTGGCATGTGCTAACTGAAGATTAGGGCGTTGTGTCATTGGGAATCCCTGCGTAGCAGCCAGAGGGCAGACAGAGACCTTACCACTAATCATGAGCTCTGTGGGAAGCTGGAGCACAGGAGACCCTCATTCACAGTGGTGGCTGGCACTTGGGCACCTCAAGTACTGGCCTCTCTTCTGGGCACAGGTAACATTCCTGGTGACAGAAGACCCATCGAGGGGTCAGGGCCGAGGTCGGCGCGAGGTCTTGTCCCCTCTGCGTTTTGAGCCATATGAAGTGGTGGCCCTGGCCTCTGGTGGAGAGGTGATCTTCACCAAAGATCAGTACATTCAGGATGTGGCAGCTGTTGTCGGGGACAGCATGGCTGACCAGGTGAGTGCACAGAACAGAGGGATCAATGCTTTCAGCTTGGAACTGAGGGGATGGGTGACATTGTATTTCTTTTTCCTGGAGGAAGGGAATGACTCCCGTTGTGATGTTGCTAGAGGGTGTCAGAAGAGTGGCAAAGGATGTTTATCTTCCCGGAGATCCATGGCTACCCACTTTCCACATTGCTCCTTCCATATCAGTCCCACCCTTTCCCCCCCAATCGTGGGCTCCAATATTCTGTCCTTGAGGCTGCCACAGGAAGTCCTGCCATTTTTTTAAGTGGGGACAAGAAGTGATTGATACTCATCCTTAACCCCTTGCCTCCAACTTTGTCATTGAGTATAACTTCATCCCTGGTCTTAGGCCACTCTCTCACTGGTATCCCGTCTCCAGGTGTGACTTAGTTTTTTTCTGTCTCCACCTTTCTTCTGTCTTTGTTCCCGCCTCATTCTACACCTTATCTTTTCCCCATATTTTGTACCTGCCCATCCTTCAAGGTGACCCTTCCCCTGGAACCTCCGGATGTGGTGCCTGAGAGGCCACTTGTGTTCAATGTGGATGGGCTGCTCCAGAGGGTCTCAGTCCGGATCCATGGGGAGGTCAGCAGCTTCTGGATCAGGAGCCCTGCAGGTACTTCCACGTGTGTGTCTCAAGGCAGAGGGAGGAGCTGGAAATGGAAAATGAGGAGTGATGTACTAAGGGAAAGAAATGTTTCGTGTGGCAATCTCTTGCTCTCCACTTCCACCCAGGGATCTCCCAGGGCCCGGAGGAAGGCCAGGGGTCTCTAGGTCACACTCGCCGCTTTGGGCAGTTCTGGATGGTGAGCATAAATGACCCCCCACAGACAGGGACCTGGGAGATCCAGGTCACAGCTGAGAGCAACCCCCGGGTGAGAGTACAAGGTAAGGAGGAAGACATTCCTGGGAAGGGAAGGGGAGATTGCAGAGCTCAGAGAGCAGTGTCAGTCACATTCATCTGGGGAAGGTCTCTGAACTACCTTCACCTTCCTCAGCTCAGACCTCCCTGGACTTCCTCTTCCACTTTGGGATCCCCATGGAGGATGGCCCCCACCCTGGCCTCTACCCCCTGACTCAGCCAGTTGCAGGTACATCTATCCCCCTTTCCTGAACTTGTTTATTAATTTCATATTTACATCTTTTATAATTTACATATTTTATATAAATATACACTAAATTTAAGTGCACCGCTGGATGGATTTGATAGAATACACCCACGTAACCATCATTCAGTTTAAGATTTAGAAGATTTCCAGCTTCCCAGAACTCCCTCTTGACCTTTCCCATCAATACTCCCCAGAGGTAACCCCTTTTCCCTGACCCTACTTCCCAGAGGTAACCTCTATTCTGAAAGCCATTTTCTTTCCTCCTTGACTCCAGTCTCACAGAGACCACTGTTCTCCCCGCCCCTCCTTTGTCCCAGGTCTCCAGACCCAGCTGCTGGTAGAAGTGACAGGGCTGGGCCCCAGAGGCAGCCCTGAAGATTCTCTGCCTCATTTCTCCCACGTCATCCTTCGAGGGGTCCCAGAGGGTGCCAAGCTAGGCCAGGTGCCTTTGGAGCCCAGGGGAGCCCAGGAGCGAGGTCTCTTTGTGGCCTCGCTTCCGCCCACTCTTCTGTCCACCGTGGGGCCCTTCTCTCTGGAGCTGATTGGCCAGGACGGAGGGGGACGGGACCTGCACCGGGCCTCCCCCCAGCCCTGCACTGTGGTCCCTGTCCTTCTGGAGGTGAGATGTTGGGGAAGGTGCAGCTGGAGCTCTGGAGAGCTGGGGCGGCTCCTCCCGACACGCCCTCCTCTGCAGCTCAGTGGCCCTCAGGGATTCCTGGCACCGGGCAGCAAGGCCCCACTCACCCTTCACGTTGCCAGTTTCTCCAGCCCTCAGGATCTCAATCTTAGGACATCTGTCAACTCCAGCTTCTCTCTCACCTCCAACCTCTCCAGGTGAAGCAGCTGAGCACTCCTGCTTCTTTCTGGCCCCAACCCTTTTGGTTTTCCAGGAATGGGATCTGGTTTATGTTAAGCCCTGTTTCTGGCCTCTTCCAATTGGCCCTCAGGTTCTCACTTCCCTTTCCCACAGCGCTTGGCTCAGCCCTAGCCCTTGACTCTCAGCTCTTCAGAGCCTAGGCTTCAGATGGCTGTTTGTATCCAAACAGGGTTCGGCTGGAACAGAATGAGTCTGCCTGGGGGCGCCTGTGGCTGGAGGTCCCAGAGTCAGCCGCCTCTAACTCCGTAGTGATGGTGACTGTGACTGCATTGGGTCGAGAAGCCGGCCTAGTGCCCCCGACACATGCCTTCCTCCGGCTCTTGGTGCTGGCCCCAGCCCCACAGGTGAGGCGCCCCACTCTTCATCGCAGCAGGCAGGGCAGGGGGAGGCTTAACTTGTGTGCAGACACCCAGACAATCTCTCCCTCTTCTCCCCAGGACCAGCTCGCTGCCCCTGCCCACTCGTCTGGCCCTGTCTTCACCTCGGTCAGCCCTACCCTTCGTCCCTCCCCTTTGGTGACTTGGGGCAGGGCTGGGGGAGGGCTGGCAGGCAACCCCTGGTGGGGCACAGTCGGAGGGGTGCTGCTCCTCCTAGGCCTGGCCTCCTGGTGACAACAGCTCCTAGAAGGATGGATCTCCAGTGCTATTTTCTTTTTAATTTTTGTTTTCTTTATGCCCTGCATGTCACCCACTGGGGATCGGTCCTGACCGGGAATCGAACTGGCAACCTCTTGGTGCATGGGTTGTACTCAACCACTAAGCCACACCAGCTGGGCTCCAGTGCTATTTTCAGTCTTGCCCCCTTGGTGAGAAGATAACATGGGCCCCGGGACCCTGCCTCTCCCAGCTGGGCTGGAGGTTTTCCTTCTCAAATACTGTCTCTTGTCTTAGCAAGATTGGGATAGAGGACACTAAATTTTCCCACAATGCACTTTCCCTAACCCTCATGGGAACCAAACCAAAGACTGATTTTTTGGAGAAAGCTGCTTTCTATTTCTTTATAGCATCTTTATTATACTACTTGTTTCTGCTCTCCCAAGCTCAGGTAGAGAGGAAGATGTATGGGGAGGAGACAAAGGTAAGGAGTGGGGTAGGAGTGTACTAGAAACTGTTATTTATAGGACTGTTTTTATTTGAAATTCTGGAGAAGTTTCTATTTTATTTTTGTATTTAAAGTTGAAGGACAGTTTCAATAAACATGTCTTCTCCCCAAAGGGATTTCAAAGACCCACCACCTGGAGCTATTTAGTTGTTGAGTCAAGAGGCAGAGTAGGAGGTTCTGACTCAGCCTCTTCTGTCACCTACTGAGGGATGAGAGGAGCCTTGGATGCTGGGGGCCCCACCGGTGGGGCAGCTGGCTGAGACCTCTCTTCTTTTGGCTGAAGGACTCCTTTCTGCTTCATTGACAACTCCTGGAGAAGAGAAACAGTCTCAGCATCTGTGCTCTGCCCTTACCCTAAATCCCCTCCCGTTTACCCGCTGCTGCCACACATCCTGCTTCCTTGGCCGTCCCTTCCCTTCCTGGGTGGCACAGGAGCCAGCCTGCTCAAGGGATGTGGGGAGAACAAGGGAGATATTCTGTGTTCTCTGTTAAACCAGTGTTGACCCAGGTCTCCTCTGTACCCCAACCTCCCAAAACTCTAAACTAAAAATAATAAACTCACCTTCCCCTGAATCAAATTCTGCAAACAGATGTTCACCTTTTTTTAAAATTTCTTTTTTTATTGATTTAGAGGGGGAGGAAGGGAGGAGAGAGAGAAACATCAATGAGAGAGAACATCAATTGGCCATCTCCTGTATGCCCCCCCACTGGGGATCTGGCCCACAACCCGGGCATGTGTCCTGACCAGGAATCAAACTGGTGACTTGCTGCATGGGTCAATGCTTAACCACTGAACCACACCGGCAGGACCTTCTTCATCTATTCTTTATGGATCCTCCCTGTTTATCCCTGGCCACTCCCCCACGTCAGTGTAGTGATCCAAATCATGTCCCTCTGAAAGGAATGCAGACCAGCCTTCTCCACGCCCAACAATGAACAGCAACCTAACACTTGGCGGTAGCATCCTGTCATTACAATGCTGCTTCCAATTCATCTCTGCCCATTAACTCTCTGCTTCTAGGGTGGTATCAGGCTGTGTCCACATAGCCCAGCTCCTTGTCCCCACACACCGAGGGCAGCCTGGTACCTTACCAAGGGCTCCCACACATAGCTGCCATTGCTATGCTTCCATCAGCTGGTACTCAAACCAGGCCTGGTCATGCTCCAGCAGCTCCAGCTCCTACCACAGGGCGTCCTGTTTCTTCTCCAGAGCTCACATCCTCTGCAGCTGGGAAATGCAAGAAGCAGAGGCTTACTCTACATCAGGGCTCTGGGCCATGGCCTTTCTAGAAACTCTTGCTTGAATTCACTGTCTGGTCACTGAATGCAAGCCCAGACCAGCCACTGAGGACCTGGAGGGCAAGGGAAAGCAGAGGGGAAGACTTATGAGTACTCAAAATTGAGTGGAAATGTAGAGGGCAGATCTAGGAAGAGGGGCTTTCCCTGGGTCTTGCTGGACTAATACTCACCCAGAGGAAGAAACTTCAGGCCTCTTGGTCTTGGCGGCTTGTCCTCAGTGGTAGCAGCAGAACCCTGTAGGGGGCCTGCAGCAGGGGCAGTGCACTAGAACCCTGGTTCCCCATGGCTCTGAGGTGGGAAGGGTAGAGCCATACCCTCTGGTGACCAGGGCTGACCCCTCCCTTCCCCACAATTACAGTAACCCACTTAGTCTCCCAGCCTCAGAGTACCCCCTCCTGTTATATCTGTCTGAGGCTGGGAAAAGCCTTCTCCCTTGGGCTCCTCTGTCTTCCCTCTCATCTATTTTCGTAGGGTCTGCTGAAGTTGGTTCTCAAAAAGTCCCCCTTGGTAGAATCCCCTTCTGTCTTTCTACAGAAGTGTCACTGTATTATTTTTAAATTGAATTTATTGGGATGACATTGGTTAATACAATTCTATAGGTTTCAAGGGTACAGTTCCATAGTAATTCATCTGTATATTGTGTTCACTACCCCAAGTCAAATCTCTCTCCATCACCATTTATTCCCCCCTCTACCCTCTCCTAATGAGGCACGGCAGGTCCCTCTGTGGACTCCTGCTTGGTGTTTCATCTCTTCTGTTCTCTTGTTTTGTTTTGGCTGGTATAAGGAAACAACTTTCTCCAAAATAAACTTCATTCCTAATATGAAACAATTTCCAGGGAAACTGAGAACCCTGGGTCTGAAGAAGATAAAGAAACAAAGAAGGCATGGCAGCCCACTGGGGTTTGGGAAGTGGAGGAGGGCTGAGGAAGGACACTCAGAGGATGGTGGTGGCCGCAGGGAGCACTTCCTGACTCATGAAAATGTCCAGGTCCAGGTTGGGATCTTCCAAATCCAGTTTCAGAAATGTATCTACTAATGTCTGGCAACTGAAGGGAGAGAGAACAGTGAGATATATGAGAGAATGGATAATAGTCCTGAGTAGAGGGGAGAAGCTGTGGCATAAGACCCAGGACCTTGAAAATTTAGGGATTTCAGAAAGAAAACAGTGGGTCATGAAAAGACAAAGAGGCTTCCTGAGTCCCTGAAAGGGGAGAAGAGCTGTAGAAGATGCTAGAGATAACAAGGACCCTGGGTCATACACTCACTTTTCCATTTGCTTCTCCTTTAGCAACTCCTTGACAGGCTTGATGGGTTTTCCACTACGGATCAAGTCTGAGACCTAAGAACAAGAAGGAAGGGGGAGCCATGGCCTGTTTGGCTCAGCGATTAGAGCGTCAGCCCGCAGTTCAGAGAGACCCAGATTCAGTTTCCACTTAAGGGCACGTACCTCGGGTTGCAGTTTGTCCCCGACCCCAGATGGGGTCACGTGGGTGGCAACCAGTCGATGTGTCTCTCTCACATCGATGTTTCTCTCTGTCTTCCTCCCTCCCACTCTATCTGAAGATAAATGCAAAAATGTCCTTGGGTGAGGATAAAAAAAAAAGAAGAAGGAAGGGGGAAGGAGTGGGGGAGTTGGGTAAGAAAAGAAGAATAAGGATCAGAAATCCCAGGGGCCCCAAAACCCAGGCCCCTGAGAGGAGCAGGGACTGGAAGTGAGCCCTGATGGGTGTAGCTGACATCCAGATCTCACCTCTTTGCCACGAGCTATGAGCTTGTCGGGAAGCCTGGCCTGGGCAGCTGTGTGGGAGGCATGGCTGGCATTGGCAACACCTTTGCAAACCCGATAGAAGAAGACAAGGTCATTCCCATCCTCACAGGTCTCCATGGTCTTAAAAAAGAATAAAAGGGGACAGTGTGTCATCATCACTTAGCTTCCTGCCCCGAAACCGATGGCCAACCCGTGGTCCCTGTATTCAGGGAGCCCTTGTTATGAAGGAGCCAGTCTCCAGCTCTGGGGAACACTTGGTTTAGGGACCCCTAGGTGGCTAGATTATTTTCCTCACCAAATACTGCACAAGGGGCCCCTGTGGCAGCAACTGTAGCTGAATGAGGCTCAGAAAGTTGGTGGCCACAAATATGTGGGGGCACGTGGGTCCAAGTGCCAGCCAGTATCGGAGCACAGCAGCCAGAAGTGCAAGCCCGTCTACCTGAGCAAAGGACAGGGTAAGGGTGTAGAACCATGGGTGCCCCATGTGTACCCCTCCACCTGCTGGCCTTTCCCTTCTTGCACTGTTCTGTTTCTTTTCCACCCACACACTCCTTTTCCAGAGGCCCAGCCTCCCCCTCATGCTCCTTTGCCCTCCTCCATTTTCTCCTTAGTTCCTCATCAGTTTCTCCTCTCACCGTGTTGGTTCCCTTTCCGAATTCATCAATAAGGACCAGAGACTGCTCAGTGGCATTGTTCACTGCTTTTGCCACCTGTTGGGTACCAGGTGGACAAAGGAGAGTTTCATTAGCATTCGAGGCCTGTAACACACTGACCACAGTCTGCCTGTGAATAAATCTGCTTGTATATGTGTCCACCCTACTGGACTGCAAATTCTTTAATGATGAGGTGCATGTTTTGTTCACCCTTTCATTGCCAACATTGACTCATACAAAGCAAGGGTTAAAAAGGCTCCAAAGTGGCCCTGGCCAGTTTGGCTCAGCAGTTAAAATGTTGACCCGCAGATCAAAGAGTTTCAGGTTCGATTCCGGTCAAGGGCCCATACCTGTTGTGGTTCAGTCCATGGCCCTGGCTGGGGTCATGCAGGAGGCAACCAGTGGATGTGTCTCTCTCACATCGATGTTTTTCTCTCTCTCCCTCCTTCCCACTCTGCAAATAAATGGAAAAATACCTCAGGTGAGGATTTTTTTAAAAAATGTTCCCAAGTGTACAGGAAAGACAGCAGATGGAATGATTTTCCTGTTCTGATAATTTTTCAGGGGTAGAGTTCCTCCCCCAATTTCCCTCTCCCCAGATCCCACCTCTCTTTGTTCCTTCTGACCTGATTGAGGTCGATCATGAAAGTGGAGAGGCCAAGAGAGATGGATTCGCAGCTATGAATTCGGGTGAAGATGGCGTCTACTGCCCCGATTTCGGCTTCCTCTGCTGGCACAAAGCTGCCCACCAAGGCCATGAATGTGATCAAGCCTACCTGAGCAGGGAAGGAGACAGAGTCAGGCCTGTGGCACAGGTTGAGGTGAA